AGGATCTCTGTAAACAGCACGGCACAGTGAAAGCCATCCGGCTTATCACCAACCGCTCCGGCAAACCCAAGGTGTGTGGTAGGCCTAATCTAAATATACATTAAGACTGTCCCAGTATCCTGCAGAATATAGTGCATATATAAAATAAATGTATACAGTCCATTACAATTACATTTGATCAAAAGTTACTGTAAAAAGTTGATAATTTTACAAAGGATTCTATTTCAAATAAATCTTTTTTTTTTACTTTGTTCAAAGAATCCTGAAATGTTTCAACAAAATATTAAGCTTCAAAAACTGTTAAAACTGGTAGTAGTAATAATAATAATAATAACCATTATTAATAAGCGAGCACAACTAATAATTGAGCAGCAAATCAGCATATTAGCATGATTTCTGAAAGATCACGTGAAACTGAAAACTGTAGTAATGATGTTTAAAATTGAGCTTTGTCACCACAGGAATAAATAACTATTTTCTATTTCAATATATTTAAATTTTTTATTTCAAATTATAATATTTTGCAATATTACAGTTTTTACTGTATATTTCTGATAATAAATGCAGCCTTGGTGAGCATAAGAGACTTTTTAAGTGACAAATAAGAGACTTTTTAAAATCATAATGATTCTCTACTTTTGAAAGGACTGTAATTTTTGCTGGTCTTAATTCACCCTTCCACAAATGAAGGTCTTAAATAAGTTCAGAAATAGTCATGGCATTAAGTGTTGTATGCACAGCCAAAAATGAATATCTTTCTCAGTATTTTTGTCATCTTCAGTATTTTGTCCAGTTCAAATATCTAACATCCTTAAATCAAGATACATTCTTTTGAGCTGCAAAATGAAGATATAAGTCTTGTTTTCTGAGAAACTGAACAAAATTTAGTTAATACTTAAAACCATAATAAAGATCTGTCAATAGGGTATAAAAACTTGTTTTCCAGTTGAATTAAGTCGATTTTTCTGAGCCCAATGGAAGATTTTTGTTCTCGTTTTAATCATGAACTCATTTAATTTTTTTTACGAATTTCTCATAAATCAAGACTTATTGTGTCATTTAATTTCTCAAGTAAATGTATTTTGACTTAAGAATATTTGAGATATTTGCAGTGGAAAACCAGACAAAACTAATGAGGAAGAACAGCACATTTTCTGCAGTGAGATCAGAAAGAACAGTAAAAGCAATTCAAGACTTTTTTTTTTTTTTTAAGTGAATTAAATGGTAATGGAGAATTATTTGGAAGTTTCAAACCTTGGAAGTGTTGCTAATACAACTCATTGTCTGCTCGCTAGATGTTTACATTTAGAGAAGAACATATTGACTTTATAAAACCTGCTGAAACCCTGTATGTATAGTCATCTCCAAGCTAATTTTTTCATATAATATTCATATTCCTCTAGATGCATTACATGTCCAAAAGTTGAACCAATATTCCTATTTTGTATATTGTCGAGTGTTCACATTAATGCGTGTGTGCTCTGTAGGGTTTGGCGTATGTGGAATATGAGAACGAAGCGCAGGCCTCGCAGGCTGTGCTGAAGATGGACGGCACCATGTTGGAAAACTTCACACTCTCTGTTGCCATTAGCAACCCCCCGAGCAGGAAGATGGAAGATAAAGCAGCGCCTAGTCGAATCCTGGGGGCAGCGATGATGAGGCAACCTCAGGGAGCGTAAGTACATGATACGCCAGGTTAGCTGGTCATGTGTTGAATTACTGCTATGTGGATGTCAGTAATTATGGTGTGAAAATGTGTGGTCTTGGATGCGATGCGATGCCATGTCTCCAGAGGAAAGGAATTTATTGTCGAAATTTGCTCTAATATTCGATTTGGGAATGTAAAAGAGGTTTCAGCTGCCCCTTACTATAAATTTAAGGGCTAAAGGATTAATTAAAATAAAATATAAATTGCAATACGGCTTATCAAAGGCTGCAATTTAATGAGATAAATATACATGCTGTGTGAATGAAGCTCAGGATGTGGTATATTCAGTGTCTCAGTGTGGCTTGGTTTGCAGTAAATGCTGCTCCACACAAACTCATTTCTGTGTTTGTTGTGAGTTTGGGTCGATTATAACGTGCATTGGGAAAACAACATGCACCAGCCGTTACACCAGAATTGTAATGAGATTTATAAACCTGAAACTTCAAGGGCTTCCCACGGTTTTGCGCCAAAATGAAAGCTTGAGTTTTGAAAATAAAGAAATGAGGAGTTAAGTATTAATATTATAATTTTACTATTATACTATAAAATAAAATTACTATTATGTTTATTAGATATTCAGTTTATTTTACTGTGAAATAGTATTATATGTTTTTCAGTTTAATATTATTTAATGTTACATTTTTGTACAATAAAGCAAAAAAGTCTAGTTCTTAAGTTGCAATTGATTTATCAGATATACAATAGTTTTTACAGCTTTCATAAATATTTATTTGTTTAATGTTATGTTAATAATAATATTTAAATTAAATTAAATACTAAATTGTTTAGTCCTGTATTTTTTTTCCATAGTTCTTGGTTGCTAAAAAACATCAGTTCTTTCTCTTTACACATTTTCATTTCTTTTTTTTCAGAAGAGGAAAAGGACGCACTCAGATCTCTCTGCTGCCACGCTCTCTGTACCGGCAGAGTGATCCAGATGCCAAAGCAGAGAACGGGACCATTTCTGCACCACACGCCACAGTGACAGATGGAGTGCACGGAGGACCTGGAACCGCAAGCCTGGACACGCAAACCAAGTCTCTGTCCAACGAGGACTTTGCCAGGATGCTCCTCAAAAAGTGAAACTATATTCAGAGAACACGAGAAGAATTACCTGCCTTCTGACAGAAAGCCATGCTGTGTCCTTACGAAGTCCGGTGGAGAAACAGCGTTTTAATTTAGCTTACTTTCTGTAAATACATGACCACTCCCGATATATAGGAAAACTATTTTAACGCCTCAACCATGGAGATGCCAGCTGTATTGTTTTCTTTATTTCTTAGTAATAACGAACGGGATTTGTGGGGCAGATTTCAGATTTTGTCAGCGAGTATTTTTTTAACAGGATGTTAAAACAAACAATGTGATGATCGTTGTTTTAAAAGGTATATGCAAGAACATTTAATATGAAGATAGATGATGTATTATAAATAGGTTTCAACTCGGCTTCATTTCTCAGTAGGTCCCTTTTGGGGCAGCTGAAATGTAGATGCGTCCTGCACCTCTGCCTTGTCAAAGGCAACAACAACAAAAATAAAGATCAAAACCTTTATTTTACATATTCTCTGAACTGCATGTTGTATAAATAATTTATTTGCAGTACCACAACCATTTGAAACAGTCTTGCATGTGTAGATTTACAACTAATAAATAAACTGTCTTCATAAATGAAGACTAATGGAGTAATAGATGATCTTTGCATACATCTGTGACTAAGAATTTCGACTTTTGTGTTTATTACACTGCAGCGCTTTAATTAAAAGCTGTACACTGTCCTGCCCTGGAAATGAGTAGATTCTAGTTTTGCCAGGCATTTTGTATGTTCTCCAAGCGCTGCCCTTTGAATCTTGTTTAATTGCTGACACAGCTTGTAAACCTGCCTTACCTTGTGTGCACAATAATGGTCTGAAGATTAAAGCTTGTGCTCCACAGCCAGATTCAATTCAACCTTCAGTCTAGAACTCCAGTTGTAGCTAATCTAGAGCCTTAGATTCCACATGTGTTTGCGGTGATATGTGAGTCGAGGGCTGGCTGAGGAGCACAGTTGCTGCTTTAGAACCGATTGGGTCCTTCCCGGAAGTTGAAGAATCTATGCAGCTGTATATCGCTAGAACCTTCCACTACGAGTTCACCTGATTGTGAACCCATCGTATACTGTATTGTGTGTGTGTATATGTTTATTACACTGCAGCGCTTTAATTAAAAGCTGTACACTGTCCTGCCCTGGAAATGAGTAGATTCTAGTTTTGCCAGGCATTTTGTATGTTCTCCAAGCGCTGCCCTTTGAATCTTGTTTAATTGCTGACACAGCTTGTAAACCTGCCTTACCTTGTGTGCACAATAATGGTCTGAAGATTAAAGCTTGTGCTCCACAGCCAGATTCAATTCAACCTTCAGTCTAGAACTCCAGTTGTAGCTAATCTAGAGCCTTAGATTCCACATGTGTTTGCGGTGATATGTGAGTCGAGGGCTGGCTGAGGAGCACAGTTGCTGCTTTAGAACCGATTGGGTCCTTCCCGGAAGTTGAAGAATCTATGCAGCTGTATATCGCTAGAACCTTCCACTACGAGTTCACCTGATTGTGAACCCATCGTATACTGTATTGTGTGTGTGTATATATATATATATATACACAACATATATCATGTAAAATGTCCTGGATATTAGTATTATTTAATGGCTATGATGGACTTGTGTATTTCATCCACTATTAAATGTTAAGCTGATCTATTTTTTTTAACTGCAGTGTCATACACTAGACAGTTCCCTCCCGTGTTCTTTTCATTGTGTTTGATTCTCATGCACACCCCTCAATGGTTGGCCATAGTTTTGTAAAGCATTTGTATATTTTGAACTAAAAAAAAGAAAAGTAGCTATATATTTGTGTTTGATCACCACAGTGGCCTAAAGTAGTGATTGAGAAAAAAATTTAAAAAACGTGCTGTTGCGACGTCTTGTTCAATATTAAAAATAATGAAAACATGGTATACATGTGGTAAATTGTGCACTTTCTTTTCTTAATTTGGTTTATTGTATCAATTATTTGATTATAGATTGGCCATTTTTATTTACCACTGTCAGTGTCATCTTTAGGCACTCTTATAATTATTTCTAATAATGTTTCTGTTGTATTTCCCGTGTTGCTCAAATTATGTGTAGTCATACTGTTTTATTTTTCCTTTTTATTAAAGCCTAAATTGTTTAATGAAGCAATTAAATGTATGTGGTTGTCAAATACAACGTGCTCATTTGTGATATTTTCTCATTTTGTTTTGATCTTTTGTCAAGGGTACAGCTGACATTTTCAATGTTTCACAACAGTGCCATTATCCTATGTGAAAAGATAAGACAAATCCACCAAATACTACAAGGAAATGAGAAGTTGCACAACAATTTATTACACACAATAATAAAATGGCTTTTACGAGTAGTAAATAAATTAAAGCTATGTTTAAATAGATTAAAGTGCTTGAAAATAATGGCAAACTCAAAATCATTATTATTAATGCAACTTTTCAACAATATTTCTACAATCAATAATACATCTTCCTTAACATTTTGAACAGCTGTGGGTAATTATAATATTCCTTGCATCATACATCAGAATCATGGAACAATCATTTTCATATGAAAATAGACGAGTACCATCTCAAAATAAATGATTTTTTTTAAACAACTTTAAAAAATCAGATTATATTCTAAGTAATGTTAAAGGTTAACTATTGCTCAAACTGGCTTTGGCAGACGTTCATTTTTGAACATCTTTTTTTGCTGTAACCTGCCAGCTTGTAAGTGACAAATGTAACAAGCCAGTCACAAAATGCACTTCAGCTAGTAAAGCATCTGAAAAACATCACTAAAGAACTGCAATCTTTCACATTTAACAGACCTGTCCTTTTTCCAAGCAAACCTCAAAAGAGATTAACTCGAGCTTGCATTTTGAGACTAGAAAAAAAATCCACAAAAATATGAGTATGAATATTGTTCCCAGCAGACAGCAGTTCATTTATGCAACATTATCATTAACTCACATGCAGAAGGATGTAGCAGTGAATAAGAGGAGCTTTTCTTTCATTTCAAATTTAAAACCGACAAAGTAGAGGCTAAAATGTGGACATTAGTCAAGAAAAGATTTGTAACAAATAAAGCTACACAGTAAATGCACAGACTTGAAATGGATCAACAGTTTATCCATGTAGGTCCCATGATAGCAGTAGAAGGTCGGTACAGAGGCTGATATGGCACTTCAATTTACGCCACATGCAATCTTTTTCCACTTGCCAATATACATCTATCAGCTATGCACAGGTATGGTGTGTTTACAGTCAGGACAGGCGTGATGACTAGCCCCGGGGAGCCCCACTGCATGCTCACTTGTGGCTATCAGTAGCGTATCAAGTGTAATTTCAGTGCATTTCGCGATAAAGCGAATAAAGGGCCTTACGTCGCCCTCGTTGGCAGTATCAAGGGCGGTGTAATACTCCACCCTCTGCTCTTTCCGAATGGTGATCGGCGGATAACTAGCTTGCATTAGGATTAAATTCATGAGCAGGCGAGACGTCCGTCCGTTCCCGTCCACGAACGGATGAACGTAAACCAGTTTATAGTGCGCGAGAGCTGCCAACTCCACCGGGTGGAGATGCAGCGCTTCCTCCGAGTTCAACCACTGCACCAGCTCCTGCATGTGCTTGTCCAAGTCCCGCGGATGCGGTGGGATGTGATGGCCCACGAACACCTGGCTGGCACGTAATCGGCCGGCTTCGACGGGATCGGCATAGCCTAGGACCCGTCGGTGTATCTCTAGGATGTCATTTACACTGATCGCTCCAGCGCGGGACAGAAGTGTGGTGTTGATGTACTTCATGGCCACGTCGACGCCAATTGCCTCGTTCTGTTCTTGAAGACTCTTTCCTGGAACGGCGTATCTGGTCTCAATAATGTGGCGAATCTCGGACAGCGTGAGCGTGTTGCCTTCAATAGCTACGGTGTGGTAAATATGATGGTAGTAGGTCTCCTCCATGACTCGGCGCAGAGCAGAGTTGCCTTTGGGTATGGACATGAGACGTTGCACCTTTCCATCGATGATTCCAAAGTGGCGCTGATCTATTTCCTCTACTAACGGGAGCGTGCGATCCCTGCTCACCAGAGCCTTCTCATTGCAGGGCGAGATGGCGAGGGCCTTGGTGTACAGGTGGTCCGCTTGGACGACGTCTTTTTCCTCCTCCAGTATGGTTCCTAATTCAGTGAGCGCCTCCACAAACTCCGGGTTCATGTTGAGCGCGTGGACGAGCAGCTTATGAGCTTTCTCCCTCTTGCCATTTTTCCTCATCTCCAAAGCCTGCTGGAGAGCCGCCTTTGCCTCCAGCTGAGTCTCTGTAAACAAACCGATGGTCAGCGCTTCACAGTATGACATTCCAGCGGAGAGATGTATAATCAATAGACTTTAACACTTCAAAGTACGTTTCAGTTATTTTTCAGTTTTATCTGTTTAATCTAAATGTCCCAGTCTGTAAACCTGATTGCAATGAACTTGTGTCCACAGAGGTGAATGAGATTAATATTAGGTTTGAAACAAATACATTTTAAAAAGAAATGCCATTTGTAAAACTTTTAAAATGTAAATATTGAACATACAGGTGCATCTCAATAAATTAGAATGTAGTGGAAAAGTTCATTTATTTCAGTAATTCAACTCAAATTGTGAAACTCGTGTATTAAATAAATTCAATGCACACAGACTGAAGTAGTTTAAGTCTTTGGTTCTTTTAATTGTGATGATTTTGGCTCACATTTAACAAAAACCCGTAACAAAACTAAAACAGAAAATTCATCAAGAAAAATAAGAGGGAGGGACTTGATTCATTGAGAATGGACTGAACCATAAAAAATAAAAAGCATTTTCAGAAGTGTTATTGTTAAGTAAAATTATTAAAAACTGTTTTTGCTCATTGAAATAAAGCTGAAATAAAATTAGCTGAAAAAAATGTCAAATTTAATTTGAAATATATATTTTATATTATATTATATATTTGATGTATATATAAATACACACATACATGTACATATTTAAGAAAAATATTATAATTATATAAAATATGTAAAATATATAGAATAAAAAAAAAAATATATCTACCACATCTAGCTATAAGTTTGATTGCATCATAATAATTGCTGTTAATAGTGTTCATCGTCTGTTTTATTACATCTTAAATTGATTTTTCCGTACATTTCTGCCATATGTACATTAACTGACAGTCACCACTGATAAGCTACCACTAAATATTGTAGAAACTTAACTTGCTGTAAAGATGCTTTGCAATGATTTGTATCGTGAAAGGTGCTGTACAAATAAACTTGACTTGACTATATATATATATATAGGATATGGATAGATAGTTTCTTGCCCGATTTACTTATTGTGTCTCCCTAAAATGGGACTACAGTGGACATGTATGAAAATGATGCATGTCTCAAAACAGACAAAACATATTCTGCTTTGAAACCGCACTAAAGTTGTAATTAGTCTGATTTAAATGATAATTACAAAATATCATATTTCCACAAGTGTGCTGAATTTAGTCAGAGTCAATATATGGAGGAGCTGTCATGGTTAAACTTCCAATTGTTTGGTATCTCTGAAAACCCCCTGAATATGCTCTTTACCGTACATCCATATGGCATGTATGGTCTCAGAGAAACTTGCTAAAATATAGCATCCTCTACAGATGACAAAATTCTACGTCTGGATCCCAGGAGGATAAGATTAAGATATAAGATTATGAAGTCTTAACATACTTAATTTAGACTAACATGCATCCAAAAATGTACTTTAGAAAGTAAACAGCCAATTTTGATTGAAGACACTCAAGCTGCTCATCAACACAAAGTCAGCAGCAGCTTCAACTGTACTGTACCTTTACTGGGCTTGACTTTCTGTGGCAGGAGGTCTAGTGCAGTGAAAGGGACCGTCAGGCTGGTGGTGTGCACCACAGGTCGCTGCACACCCCCCCACAGCTGGCAGCGCAGAAGAGCAAAACCCTTCAGTGTGGCACAGCATCGCTCCTCTATTCCTGCTAAAGGCAGCAGCAGAACAAATACAGACCCCAGCAGGCCGCACAGAACTGATCCCCAGCCCCAGAGCAGAGGGCCGCTGCAGGCTGCCATCACTCACACGATCCAGACTCCACAGGACACGTGCCCAACATGCTTGCAAGACACTATCTGAAAACCAGTGTGAAAGGTATGAAAGAAGGCCAAGCATTCACATGTTAAATCAGGCTTCTTGTCATTTTCTCCAGTCTAATTTGAGCCAGCTGGCTCTTGGGAGAGTTTATGAAATAGTCTTAAATCAAGTGATTTGGAACCACATTTACAGCCATGTCTCGTGCTGACTCAGTCTGAAGATGAGAGCAGATGTAGGTATGATCAAACACAGTCACATTTTTGAAACCACCTAAACCTGGATTTGATAATTAACGTTATGGCTGGCCTATATGCTGTAGCGAAACACAGTCACATTGAAGTATTTTTATAATTGTAATATTTAACACAATAGATAAATACTTCTAATATTGTAGAACAAGGTATTTGTCCAGCTGATATCACCTTAGATAGTCCGTGACTACAGCGCTTCATGCCACTATTCATACATTTATAGACAAATGTTCACTAAACACTAAAACTGGCGGCAAGCTACGCGCTTTATTAAACAAGATGCAAAGTTTCAGACACACATTACCGGTTAATGAAGTGTTATTCTCGCTATAAACACTGGATATGATCAGAAATGTTTACACTGGCGTTAGCAACGTCAACTTCCGCCAAACGGAAATGGCCTACATGTAAGGATGATGTTGATTGGTTGATTTTACTTAGTATGTGCTTAGTGATTGGTCAGATGTTTGCTACACACCCTCGAGCAGCAACACAGTTTTCAGATCGTAGAACTACATGATTGGACAAGACGCTCAATAATAATAATAATAATAATTATTATTATTTTTATAACTCTTTTGAGAGTTGTATGATAATAAAAATACATTGAAATAAAAAAGAAAACATGCACAAAAAAAAAGAGGAGGAGCGGAGATCACGCCTGAGGAATGTATGGGGTTAAAATATCAGACAAATATTGAGCGGCTAAACCATGCCTGATAGGTAAGCATGCAAATTAATATCCACTCGAACAGTGACAGGGAGCCAGTGGGAGTGATGTAATCATTTGTATATGTATATAATAAAATTAAAGATACACGTGAGTCACGCAGTTGTTTATTTATTTATTTATTTTTGAGAAAGTTTTTATTGTCGTTGCTGTAGATCAATTTTATGATATTATTTTTAATTTGAATTAGAAGTCACTCCATGGCATTAGAATTCTAAACACTTGGGGTCAGTATTGCTTCAGTAATAAAATGAATCACTGTTCTTTTATTTCCTTCACTGAAAATCTTGGAGATCTTAGACTGAAGGAAGACATTGCTTTTATTACACATACTGCATTTCAAACAAGGCCTTAGAAAATAACTACCACATATACAGTTAACCTGTGAATCCCTGTCTACAGATACAGATGTGAATTGTGATATTTTGTCCAAGTGAAGATGAAACAGTAATCCATTTCTTCTTTTATGCCTTCGACATATATAAAACAAGTATACATTGATACAATAACTTCAAACTAATAATTTATTCGAGTGTAATTTGTGCTGCCGTCTCATTAACACTTCTGAAAACGTTATTATGACATGCTTTGCTTTATTTATGAGGACTGTTTCTGCACACCTGCACACACACATACACATCAAGAGATATTAAGGTGTGTGTGTGTGTGTGTGTGTGTGTGGTCAAGGAGGCAATAACTGTGCAGAGTGATTTATGACTCTATTTCCGTTCTAAAGCTGGCCAGATGTTAATACTAAACACACTAAATTTTATACACACCAAGAGGAGAGAGACAGACTCCTTCCATATTAATCATATCATAGATCGAGTCACTAAACGTATTAAACATGGAATACAAATCACGTCCTTTATAGACTTTGATGCATATCTGCATAAAGCAACCTGTATAAAGGCATCTTAGAGACGCTATAATCATGTTTTCACTGGAATTACATTGGGAATAATCTCAATCATGGTTTCACATGAATTACTGAGGTTAGGCGGCCCACCTGCGGAACTAAAGCGTATGAATCACAGCATATAATGAGAGCAGTGTGCCTCATTCCTCTATAAAGCAATAAGCTTCAGGGCAGCAATGGGAACTCTCGAATACATATTGTTGTTGATGTTATTATTTTTTTTCTTTTTTGCCTCAGGCTTGGAGGATTTCAGGGCATCATACATTGCTTGTGTTACACTGCACATTATAAATCCAACAAATCATCACTGTAAACTTTGAGTAAACATATTCAAAACCTTCCCCACACCTCCACCTCCATAATTATTCATAAACTGGTTTGTGTGTGTGATCTGCTTGAATGAGTATGTTTTGTACAGTTCATAAGAGCGCGTAATCAAAGCTTTTAGTGATGGATGAGGCGAGGGGTTACCATGGAAATGCAGAGACGTGAAATATATGTCTATAGAGGAGGTCACAGAGAGGAAGGAATAGGAAAGCTCTGCCCTCTCAGGTTTCATAATTCACTCACCCTTCCATCCATTAAACCAATAAATTGATGTTTTTGTTTCTGTACAGATGTATGGTGACAGTAATGATATTTCTTAATTTATAAGCATGAATTTGATACTGCATGAATTTGCATATTTAACCTAATTTTCTGTTTTGCCTGTGAAATTGCTTTAATAAATGTTATTCATATTGTTTAGAAGGATCCATTAAATACATTTAGAAATCAAATCAATCTATGACCGTCAGGAAATACAGTGCTGCTTGAAAGTTTGTGAACCCTTTAGAATTTTCTATATTTCTGCATAAATATGACCCATAATTAGATTTTCACACAAGTCCTGAAAGTAGACAAAGAGAATCCAATCAAACAAAGGAGACAAAAATAAATACTTTGTCATTTATTTATTGGGGGAAATGATCCAGTGTTACATATCTGTGAGTGGCAAAAGTATGTGAATCTTTGCTTTCAGTATCTGGTCTGACCTCCTTTTGCAGCAATAACTGCAGGTAATGTTTCTTGTAACTGCTGACCAGTCCTGCACAACATCTTGAAGGAGTTTTAGCCTATTCCTCAGTACAGAACCACTTCAACTCTGTGATGTTGGTGGGTTTCCTCCTATGAACTGCTTGCTTCAGGTCCTTCCACAATATTTCAATTCAAGGTCTGGAATTTGACTTCAAAACGTTAACTTTGTTCTTCTTTAACTATTCTTTGGTAGAAAGACTTGTGTGCTTGGGGTCGTTGTCTTGCTGCATGACCAACTTTCTCTTGAGATTCAGTTCTCGGACAGATGTCCTGACATTTTCCTTCAGAATTTGCTGGTATAGTTCAGAATTCATTGTTCCATCAATGATGACAAGCCGTCCTGGACCAGATGCAGCAGAACTGGCCCAAACCATGATACCAGCACCACCGTGTTTCACAGATGGGATAAGGTTCTTATGCTGGAATGCAGTGTTTTCTTTCTCCAAACATAACGCTGCTCATTTAAACCAAAAAGGTCTATTTTGGTCTCATCCATCCACAAAACATTTCTCCAGTATTCCTCTGGCTTGTCCACATGAACTTTAGCAAACTGCAGATGGGTAGCGATGTTCTTTTTGGAGAGCAGTGGCTTTCTTCTTGCAACTCTGGCATGGACACCGTGGTTGTTCAGTGTTCTCCTGATGATGGGCTCATAAACATTAACATTAGCCAATGTGAGAAAGGCCTTTAGTTGCTTAGAAGTTAGCCTGCAGTCCTTTGAAACCTAGTGGACTTTTACACGTCATACTTTTGGAGTGATCTTTGTTGGTGGAGCACTCCTGGGGAGGGTAACAGTGGTCTTGAATTTCCTCCATTTGTACACAATCTGTCTGACTGTGGATTTGTGGAGTCCAAACTCTTTAGAAATGTTTTTGTAACCTTTTCTAGCCTGATGAGCAACACCAATTTTTTCTGAGGTCCTCAGAGATCTCATTTGTTCATGCCATGATACACTTCCTCAAACATGATCAGACTTTGATAGATCCCTGTTCTTTAAATAAAACAGGGCACGCACTGACACCTGATAGTAATTTCACTGATTGAAAACAACTCTGAAAAAAAGATGGACTCTAATTGCACCTTCAAATTAACTGCCAATCCTAGAGATTCACATCATTTTGCCACTCACAGATATGTAATATCGGATCATTTTCCTAAATAAATAAATGACAAAGTATATATTTTCATCTCATTTGTTTGATTGGGTTCTCTTTGTCAACTTCCAGGACTTGTGTGAAACTTTGATTATGTTTTGTGTCATATTTATGCAGAAATATAGAAAATTCTAAAGGGTTCACAAACTTTCAAGCGGCACTGTATATACCAATGCTCCAGTCTATCAGACAGTGTGGGAGCAGAAGCAGAAGAAAGGGGAGGATGAACAGCCAGCATTTAGTGGGTGTGTGAGAGAGAGAACCCAGACAGAGAAATAAATTGGTTGAGTTATGGAATGAACTGCCTTAGGTTATCATGGCTAAAATTGTAATCTATATGCTCTCACTGTGGAGTCTCATTCTACTCAACCTGTCTGGAACTGCCAGCCTGAGATAGATCTATCTATCTATCTATCTATCTATCTATCTATCTATCTATCTATCTATCTATCTATCTAGTCTCAGCCTACACCCACGGACGGTTGGCTGAACGTCTGATGCATATGGTACACAAAATTGGAAACTCTCTAGGATTTCCAGGAGATGTGTGTCGCGTTCTTTAACGTTCTGGCTGGAAACAAAGATGTCATGAAAATCTATCTATCTATGATTTTATCTGTCATTCTATCTATAGGGCAGGGTGTTATATCAAAATGGGTTGGCCCTTTTCCGGCTCCTTCTTTGGGCAGCAAGGCAACTGTCTTGCCTTTGTACTGTTTGTGTGCCTCCTCCAGAAACAGAGTTGGGAAACGGTGGTCTAGAATGATCCTTGTGCTTCAGAACCAAATAGGCTGCATGTGTTTGTGGTATGTGTTTGAAATAAACAGAAATAATCATGACTCGGTCTGCTCATTGCATGAGAGCAAATTACTGTAGTATGGATGACTTCAGTCTCACTACTTACGTTATTTTTGAGAAAGAGGAAGGCAAAAATGAAGAAATGGAAAGAACCTTTCACCAGTAACATATACATCATCCAAAAGCCAGAGATACTATTTTAATAATGTATGTTCAGCCAGTTGTAATCGCAAAATAAACCGCAACAGGATGATCTGTGATCTGAAAGCTTAATTACATGGCTAATTGCAACAGAAGTAAATAACTGGACAAAATATTTCATCTCACAAAGCCTCCATGAAAGGAAACTCAAATATTATAACTAAACATTCTGGGGAAATGCTTTTAAAATAAAGATTGAAGAGTTTTTGGGAGCTTAGTGAAAGCCATGTTGAAATCATGCCACCTTGGTGTAGT